CAAAGTGCTGAACCATTTTCATGCAGTTTTGGTGAATCATATAATCTTGGTGTGAACGTTGCAGTAGGTGGTAAGTGAACTATACTGACCTTGTGAGAGGAAGCCTTGTTGTTTCAGTCTTTTCACTGTTTCCACTGACCAATTCTCTATCTTTTCAATCGAATTTAGACAAGATGAGATATATTGGAATTTTAGATTGTCATTAGGAATCGTATTCATCTTCTCGAAGTAATCCGCTTTGTTCATGAACAACCACTCCGGAACCCCTCCATATCCAGTCTTGTTATTAATCTGTTTTCGTTTCCTCGGAGAATATCTAGAGCTAGTTTATGTGTTTTGGTCAAAATACTATCCAAATTGCATTTACTAATCAACATAATTATAGCAACAATGGACCAGAGATGACTTAAGTATTTCAACAGCTTCGGCAGTTTGAGTGTAGAGACTCTTTTGGACTGAACTTGTGGATCCATTTTAATAATTCTTGCATAACAGTCACAAAATTTAAAGGGCTAAGTGATAAAACTTGCAGATCCACTTCGTCAATCAATACTGCTGGACTGACATTCTTCTACCTCTTCTTCCTCTTAAGCTGCTACTAGTTAGTTGGTTAGTTAAAAGTTGGAGTCTCCGGTGCATTTCCAAGTAGTGATTTACAGACATTCGACTGATATCAAGTTAAACCACTAACTGACATCGATAAAATGTCACTGAAAACTAGCGAGTACTGGATGCCTAAATATCCTGGGATCAACCCCTGTGGAACCAAGCCCACGTATTGCTGAGGAATTCCAAAATCAGGACTCAATACCTATCCAGTAGCCGGTGGTTTCAAGTGGTATCATTCAGCGACATAGCTGAGTCCTGGATAGAATATCAACGCACACAACTCATCATCTCATATGTATAGTCTTTCTCAACCAAAACATTTCAAGTCTAACTTTGCATTCATTTTTGTCTTTCATATTACAGTAGAAGTTGAGGCAGTTTTAGATTTAATCTTACAGGCAGAAATGAACAATGAAAAATTCGTTCCATACTTTACAACTCAAATGTATTCCACCAAAAATCTGTCGAATATTTTCTATCCAACTTCAATTATATACAGAACAGTCGACGATTTACTGAATCGAGTGAAAAATTTACAAAAGCAAACATCATCGAAATTTCTGTTGACTCATATATTTCAACTGCAGATGAAACCACTTGATCTGGATCAGCTGTACTCGGTTAGTAGGTAGTATTTTCAACGATTTATTTTATACAGCATGCTGCTTGTTAGTGAATAATCCTGTGATCTATATTTAGTTAAAATATATAACCAAATTCTATTATAATTAGAATAATTATTCCTTTGGGTTCCGAGTAAAACATGGCGCTTTGGCAGTTAATCATCAGTCGACTCTGTTTACCTTTTTTACAGTCTCCAGGATTGCCCATGAACCGTCATTTCTTACATGCATGGAAATAGTTAAGCTGTATTCACGTTTTTTTGCTTATCCATCCACTCTTTGTATGTGTGTGTATGTGCAAAGGGAATATAAACATAAGATCAAGGTGAGTGTAGTTCTTCACAGATAGAGATAGAAAGAAAAAGACTTTGAAAGTACCCGAAAAATTTAGTTAGCTAAAGTTGTCATGAATTATATGGTGCAGTGATAATTGTGTGTCATTTGTGTGTTATTGCAAAATCATGGGGTACAATAAAAAAGGGATTGAATATTACCTCAGATTAGTTTGAAAAAAAATGTGACATGAATGAATTAAACTCGCCTTAGTAAACATACTCCAGCAATAAATAATAATAATAAACAATGCTAAAAGCTGCACTGAAAGGGGATGTTGTCCAGAAAGGACGACGAAAGCTCTGCGACTAAACCAAACAGCTCAGCGTGTGGCGAGAACTGCCTGCCAGCCCAAATCGGTAGACAGTAATTAACGTGAATGTTCAAATTGAAGTGTGCGCTGAATATCTCACCTAGTAGGGTGATGAAAGCCTCGCAAATCAACCATCCAGTTCAGAAAACACAACCACATCAAAAACAAAGGCGAATTGTCTGTAATGCTGACTTCAGAATGTGGCATACAAGCCTGAAGGTTATGTTAGCGTCAATGCGATGTACTGTATCGTGGTAGAAATAAACTTTTGGTGCATTTGATTCCCCTCTGACTGAACTCACCTAGTAAATGCTCTTCAGGCTGTAGACGCAACTGAGACGCAGCTGTACACCGTATATAACATGAACCACATGAACGATTAAAATGGTATTTGCACAAGGGAGAGCTACGATTAGGTAAGACGTCTTTCAGTTTTGGGATGAAGATTGGATAGCTACTGATGGATAGGAAGAGATATACAGAGTAGAACGTCTTCTTCATTCCTCTGTGGTTAGAAAGTAGAATGGAATCTCCGTAGGAGTACCTATCTCCATTGAATTGCTGGCTCATACTGGTGACCCTTATAATCTATGTTGACTTTTATAAACCTCTCTGCATATATCCATTTACGCTCAGAATATCTTTAATGACCTGGAGTTCTTTCTTCACATAGTCTTGGGAGCAAAGCCACCTAATGTGTTACACGCAAATGCTATTTATTCTATCGTTGAATAACTAATCTGTGATGGCATAACTGCCTGTCATCGTAACGACAAGTGTTGTATTTGTATACTGTAAGAATCTGAATCGAATTCACTGAAATGTGTATTCTTCGTTCAGATTGACTTTCAATTTATGACGTGAGAATATTTTGTACATTTGCCTCTGAATAAGTGTTGATTTTGCCAACTGATCAGGCATACTGAAAACGAAGTACGTAGACAGCTGGTCTACTTAGCTTCCATAGGAATTTCTTTTTGCCTCGCGCATATATAAAAATGTATAAACGAATTATGTAATATTTTACTACGTGTTTATTTTATTTGTTTCAAGATATTTCAAAACAGGTACATATTTAAAAACTTCTACTGGATATTCGCTACAACACTGTCTATCACACCGAATGAGCTAGTCCGTGTAGCAATGACCAATCAAAAGGAACAGGTTGCAACAGGATTTTATCGACAATTCCCCATACTCAATGAAGAGGATTGTTTAAATCTGGAAATTGGCGAGAATATGCGTTTATTAATGGAAGAAATATTCCAGTGTAATACATATAACATAACTGTAAGCTGAAGACACAATTGTATTGCATTTAGCCATGAATAATAATAGGAAAGGAGAATAGTTCTCGCATAAATAATCCAAGATTTCACGGTATTGACCCGGGTTAAATTTGTAATAGATACTGGGAAGGAAAGCGAACGAAGCAGAAGATGCAACAAACGAACATCAGCGACTCCATGAACATACATCACATTAGTATAGGCAGCCTGACTAGTGTGTGGAACTCATTCTCATAACGCCCATCGGAAAAGTTTTCACCCTTAGATTTTTACCCTCCCATTACCAGAGAATGAACTGCAGTGGCAAGTAATTTCACAAAATGATGAAACAACAGCCTTCTTTGTTCAACATCGAATGCTGATCTTCGCTGTTCAAGTCGACTTGTTCAGCTGAATGTTCTCAGTCAAGCATCCACACGATTCAGGACGCTGTCATGTTACTTTCAGTCATTTGTGCACGTTCTCTAGCTAACTAAGCAACCATCATCATACTGTTATTCTGATCCCGAAATATACCTTGTATTTTGTACAATCAAAAAGTTGATTCGCTTCCTCAGTGATCTCAGTTACAGGATAGAGACTCATGTATATATATATACATATACAGCATATCTCGCGTAAACATTGACATCTTCATCTCGTAAACTGGTATCCTTAAGCCCTGATCCAGGTTAACCGATAAGACTTTCTTTATTGCCTGACAGGCTTCTTGTACTTCACCACACCACATATTTAGGATTCACATCTTATGAAGTCTGCTCACAACACAGAAATAGATGTCGGTATATATCATGTACTACGTACTCCTAACCGGAATAAAATCAATCATCAATAGAGTTACTCCAATCTGTAGTTTCCATAAAAAGTCTTAGTGGTTGAACACCTCCTGGTGAGGGGAGCTTAACCTCCCATATTATTTTTTTCTATTACAGCTTGATTCCACACAGTATTTTGGTACAAGTATAGAATTTTCAGAATGTGATATCGTTAGTCTGAATTTAGCAGACCGGCTATCGATATCAGGTGTGTGTCGGCCGGTGGTCGATCCATGGACCATGTGCGTGGTCGGCAAGCATCCTAACCGCTGTGCTACCGATGTATCTGAAAATAAGTCGTTTCCATTGCTGAGTTTATTTCTCCAGATACTTTGACACAATTCAAGTGGCTGTTATTTTCTTCGGCGTCATTTATCTGTAGAAGCACCAATGTGAAATTTAACTTTACATTTTGAAACAAAACGCGTATAAAATGGTACATACAGAAATTGGTTCAGATATGGATGGTTAGAAATCATTTACGTCAAACATTATTACTTTTGTTAGTAAGATCACTGAACCACACTGTAGCGAAGTTCCCCCTTTCACCTGGGCGGGATCGAATTCTTTATCATGTATGCATTTTCTCTCAACTTAAAAGGTGAACACTATGAAATCAGTCGACAGTATGTATTTCTCGATAGTGTTATTAAAGGTAAAACACTGGTATTCAGTTGCTCTCTAACATTTAGCCTTCAGTTCGTTAGTGAAACCAACTGTTTGATATCCATCCATCCTTTAAAGGTGTTTAAAATTAATGAATTGAATGAAGATGTTCTTGTGTTCAGTGTATTACTCAACTGACAAGGAAAAGAATTTCAGCATTGAAAATGAGAAAAGACGTGTTTAACTGCACTGGAGACAGCACTGAGACTGCTGTAGGTAGCCATGGGATGCTAACAATAGAAATCATTGTCAACCTCTGCTACATATTTTCACTGACTAATACAAGTATTTATACATCAAATTGTCTCTCAAGAAAAGGAATGACCATATTTCATTTTTTTGGATGTTTCAGGAACGTGAACTGGAAGCTGTTTATATGATACTCTTATCTAGTCAAACAACGATTCTAATGAAGAGTATTTCGTTGGATATCTTGAACACGCCGGCTATTCAAAATTGTGGTTCCAATGTTGTTCAGACTAAGTCATTCGGGCAATTGTTTTATCGGATTCTTATTTCTGTAAATAGTTGTTTTTGCGTTTTGACGTGTGTGAATACTGCTGATTATTTATTTCATGCTCACTTTGTAACACTCGGTTGGTTAAATCAGAGTACAAAGCGAATTTATGTAGAAAAAGGAATAGGTAAAAATCTCCTCTCGAGTCATGATTGGTCAGTAATCTATTTTGAATAATAAGACAGAAGGTGGATAGTTAGTTGGTAGTTGGCTTCATTGTTCAGCACTTCTCATGAGACGACAAGTGTGTGTGTCTATCAGTGTGAATGGTAGGCTTAGTCAGTTTGCCTAGTCACGGTTTCACATATAATACCAGTGTGAAGACACACAGTTATTGAGTTGTGATGGTTTCACTCACTCAATCAGTCAGTACATTGATTGTTCTGATGTAATTACTATCGTGTAAAAGGGTGTGTCTGAAGTGGAATGTTCGCCATCGCCAGCGATGCACATGGTCCAACTTAGATTTCAGGATGACGCATTTCTAAACCTCGCTTAGTTTACAATCTGACAGTTGGACTGAAGAAGATGAAACATTGGACGACAGTCTAGTAACCACAGTCCCATAGAAGAGGAATACCACCGCTTGAAGACCTACCTATGTTTCACTTGAAGCGTAAGGATTGAAGAAGAAGTAGATTGTTCAACTACAGGATCCACTGTGAGGAAAAGCCATATTGATAACAGGTTTAAAATAGTTATGAAATAGTTCACATTCTGATACTACCCCAGAAAAGACATATTGCAACGGTAGAAACGATAAATCTTATCAGCAGCACACGCTGCAATATCATCTGTTTTTCTGGTTTAGGAGTAGTCTGGGTGTAGACTATCTAAACTAGTAGCTGTGTTCTGAGCTTGTCAACTTAGTGCTGTATTCTAGACTTTCGAAAATACACTCAGCTGTTTCCATGTCAAACGAAGAAGTGGAATTCATTTGAAGGTGTTGTCAGGTGACTCCTATTTCACAACGTGTCTTACTACGCATTCAGTAACGAAATGCTTAAACAGAAGCTGAAGAAAAGTCCTGGATAACAACATTTTGGTTTAAATTTGACACCAACTAGATATAATTAGGAGGAAATTGATCAAATCTGCAATTTAAACAATTCAAAGTGAAATCTCACCTATCTTTTTCTCTCTCTATCTTTTGAAAACCGAGATTATTCAGATCATAACGATTCGACTGATTCCAGAGGGAACCGAATCAGTTTACACCACTCGCACAGCAAGATGTGAATTTCAGCTATCTAGTGAGTTTCTGATCAGGCGTTACACAAACACGTCTAAGATGATACAAAAACCTTTGCCATTAGGTAGACTGAAGTGGTTTGACTATCTCAGCTAACTTCAAACGGATACATAAGTGGTGAGGTCAGTTGTACACAAGTGAAACGGACGTCCAGTGTTTAGCTCACTTTTATCCTCCTAACAAGTACTACTGATTGATGTGAGTGATATACGACTACTTATCTCAATCAGTCAATGAGTCAGTAGTATGTAGATCCTTAGAATGAGACGAGAACATTGTAAATTAGATTTAGCTGTCAGGGTGTATTATTATATTGTTATTATTACCTTTAATTCCTAGTGGAACGTAGGGCTTCAGCTGCACGTCTCCATTGCGTTCGGTTCTCTGCTAAAGTTTTCACGTGGCACGAAGTCTGTCCACATGCTTTCATCTCCTCCTCACATGAACTCCTCCAAGTCACCCTTGCGCTGACGACCAACTCGCCACTTCCCTTTCGGGTTCCACTCGAGCAATGGATTGTCCAGTGATGTCACTTGATGATTTCCTCAGCGTATGGCCAATCCATCTGCATTTCTTCCTGCTTATTTGTTGCACAATTGGTTCCTGATTGGTTCGCTCCCAGAGATCCCTATTGCTGATCTTTCCTGAACGGCCATCTCATCGTGAGTATTGAGCGAAGACAACTGTTAATGAAGGTCTGAAGTTTGTTTGAGATGCTCTTTATGACTCGCCAAGTCTCTGATCCGTATAGTAGCACTGACTTTACATTGGAGTTGAAAATCCGGATCTTATTTTGATTCTGAGTGCTGTTGACTTCCACACAGATTTGAGAGTAATGAAAGCTTGTCTTGCTTTTCCAATTCTTGCTTTGATATCCTCGTCAGTTCCTCCTGTAGTTGAAACGATGCTTCCCAAGTTGGTGAAGGGGTTGTTTCTTTCAGGTTCCTCCCATTTATGCTGGCTGATTGTTGTCTGTTGTTGCTGTTGGTGTTGGCCAGGAATCTTCATCATCTCTGTTTTTACTATGTTTACCTAATGTCCTTCCTATCTTTGATTCTTCTTCTAACAACTTGTTACTTTTCACTGGCATATCTTCCACTTTGTGGAAAATTAGACATATATCATCGGCGAAGTTCAGATCCTCCAAGTATTTTGTGTAAGTCCATGTTATGCCTGTTTCCTCGTTGCTCGACCCGCTATCTGTCGCATTATCCAATCCACTACAATCAGGAATATCTTCGGCGATAGTAGGCAGCCAGCTTGTCTTACTCCTGTTTTTATTTCGAAGGATTCCGTGAGTTTCCCGTCGTGGATTATTTCGCATGCAGTATTGTCGTACAGCTAACTGTTGGATAAGATGTATAATAGTCGACGGCACCCCTTGGTAGTAGCGAATTGGTTGCCAAATCACTTCTCGAACGATGCTGTCGAAGGCCTTATCAAAGTCGATAAATTGAAAACATTTATTTCCCGATACGAATTTAAAACAAGCAATAAAGGTTAATAAAGCAGGATTTAATGAATTCATCAAATTTCGGTAGAACTCGTCAGCTGAATACTCTACATACACGGATATATATACTTTTGAAATTACATGGGAGTATAAGACTGATAAGTTGAATACTCTACATACACAAATATATATACTTGAATTACATAGGGAGATGTAAGACTGATAAGTAAACAAACTACATTGAATGAATCAT